CTAAAGTCCGACTTACATAGTAAACTGGAAATTGCGTACCTTCCTCTTCTCGAACTAGGACACCGCTTATGGCGACTTTCGATACTGCCAAGTACAGGTAAAGTTTTTAGTCGGTTTTTGGGGTGTGCAGCAGTGGCGGGTTCGATAGATATCGTTTCAGTTCTTGCAATGCTAGTTGGCATTCCGGTGTCCAAGCGAAGTCGTTCTTCTTTTTGAGTAGGGAGAAGAATTTGTGACTTCGATCTGGTGATCTTGAAATGAATCGGCTTAGGGCTGCTATTCTCCCTGTTAACCTTTGCACAACTTTCACGCTGTTCACGATGGTGATGTCTTCAATGGCCTTGATTTTGTCTGGGTTAATCTCGATTCCCCGATTCGACACCATGAAGCCGAGGAACTTACCCGAGCCGACTCCGAAAGCACATTTTTCGGGGTTGAGCCTCATGTTGTATTTCTTTAGAATATTGAACGTTTCCTGCAAATGGGTCAAATGGTCCTCTGCGCGCAGGGACTTGACTAGCATGTCATCAATATAGACTTCCATTGATTTACCTATTTGTTCTTCGAACATTCTATTTACTAGGCGTTGATAAGTAGCTCCTGCATTTTTTAGCCCGAAGGGCATTACGTTATAACAATATGTTCCGCCTCTAGTCACAAACGAAGTCTTTTCCTGGTCTTCCGGGTTCATCTGGATTTGATTATACCCGGAATAAGCATCGAGAAAAGTAAGGATCTCGTGGCCGGCCGTGGCATCGATCAAGTGATCGATGTTAGGCAGTGGATAAGAATCTTTGGGGCATGCTTTGTTTAAGTCCTTGTAATCTATACACATTCTAAGTTTGTTTCCCTTTTTAGGCACTACGACCACATTGGACAACCATTCGGGGTACTTTACCTCTCTAATGGATCCTATTTTGAGTAGTTTGGTTACCTCATCTTTTATGAATGCGTGCTTCACCTCCGATTGGGGTCTTCTTTTTTGCTTCACCGGACTGAATCTAGGGGACGCACTTAGTCGATGTGTCGTTATGTCCGGCGGGATTCCTGTTATATCTAAATGGGACCAAGCAAAGCAATCAATGTTATTAGTAAGAAATTGAATGATTTTCTTCCTGAGTTCGGGTCTCAAACCCCTTCCCAAGTATACCTTTCGTTCGGGCCAGTGATCGTTCAAAATGATCTGCTCCAATTCCTCAATAGTTGATTCGGTGGCATCGGAGTCATCGGGGGTTACGAAGGATCGAGGGATCCACTGATCACTATCTTCATCGATGCTCCGCTTATCTGGCTGGGTCGGAGCCGATGTCTTTGGTTACTATTTGGCGTTCTGGTCCGCGATTTGAACCCGATCCATTCACTGGCGAAGACGGAGATGTTGGTTTTGCTTCTTCGATGGAGAACATTTCTTTCGCGGCTGGTTGTTCTCCATACACTATTTTGATGCCTGTCGGTGTTGGGAATTTGAGTACCTGGTGTAGGGTCGAAGGTACATCTCTCATGTTGTGGATCCACGGCCTTCCGAAAAGGGCGCTATATCTCATATCGTCTTCGATCACGTGAAACTTTGTTTCCTGAATTGTTCCGGCGACGTTTATCGGTAGGGTTATCTCACCTTTGGTGGTTTCGCATGCCATATTGAATCCTTTTAAAACCAAAGTTGCGGATACGGCCCGGTCTTGTAGGCCGAGCTGTTTTACGACCTTCGATCTGATGATATTGGCCGAGCTACCTGGATCAATTAACACACGCTTAATCTTAATTTTATTCATGAGTACGGATATTACCAGTGCATTGTTATGGGGTTGGATGATTCCCTCTGCATCTTCATCATTGAACGATAAAGTCCTTGGGGGAGTGTAATCCTGAATCCGAGGTCGCTTTTCCCTTACAATCGACGTTTTAGCGCGTTTGAGTATAGGTCCCTGAGGGGTATCGACGCCGCCGATGATCATGTGAATGATGTGCTGTGGCTCTTCTTCTTCGTTTCATTTGCCGAAGTCCCTATTTTTAAAAGGGTTTTTCGCCCTATCACTCAAAAATTCCCTAAGGTGCCCTTTGTTAAACAAGCGGGCTACTTCCTCTCTTAATTGTCTGCATTCTTCCGTTTTGTGACCATGGGTGCCATGATACTCGCATATTTGATTGGGATTCCTTTGGGCCGGATCGGTCTGCATGGGTCGAGGCCATCGGGTATCTTTGATGCGTCCGATGGCCGATACGACGGCGGATGCGTTGATGTTGAAATTATATTCCGATAATCGAGGAACTTCTACAGGATCAGCATGTTTATCAAAACATCTCTTGCTCATAAGTCCTCGAGAAATTTGCCCCCGATCATATCTGCGGTTATTCCCAACTGTCTCGTGCGCCGAACTGTGGTTCACCCGATCTGTGACGTACGATTGATATCGGTCTTTGTTTGACCTTTGTTCTCTGCTGGTTTCCTTCAGAATTTTAGTAGTTGCGTGGTTCTGACGTGTGGGTTCATACGAAAATCTCAATTGATCGTCTTCGACCCTGATTTTCGATTGGTACCGATTGTGTATATCCGTCCAAGTTATTGCAGGGTATTCGATCAAGCTTTGTTTCAGCCGATGTGATGCTGTCGAACTCAGTTCGTTCAACCCTTGGGTGAAAGCTTGTACGGACCAGTCGTCTGTTACTGGTGGCAAATCCATGCGTTCCATTTGAAACCGGGATACGAATTCCCTCACTATTTCGTCACCCCTTTGTGTTACTTTGAATAGATCTGATTTCCTCGTTGCGACCTTCACGGCACCAGCATGTGCTTTTACGAACGAATCTGCTAACATGGCAAAAGAATCGATAGAATTCGGTGGCAAGTTGTGATACCAGATCATTGCTCTTTTAGCGAGGGTCTCTCCGAACTTTTTCAATAATATAGGCTCGATCTCCTCGTCTTCCAAATCGTTGCCTTTGATGGCACATGTATAGGAGGTGAGATGTTCGTTAGGATCGGTCGTGCCTTTATATTTGGGAATTACGGGCATACGAAACTTTTTTGGGATCGGTTTCGGGGCCGCGCTTGATGGGAAAGGCTTTTGTATGAATTTCTTCGAATCCAGCCCTTTCATCATGGGCGGAGTCCCCGGGATCTGATCGATCCTAGCATCATATGTTTCGAATTTTTTGTCATTGACTTCGACTTGCTTTGTGAGCTCCTCGAGCAGTTGAGCAATTTCAGGAGCGGTTCCTGATTTTCGCTCGTTCGGTTTCACTGTGTCGGGTTCCGTTCTGGGGGTTACTTCTCGAAGAAGCGGATTGGAGTTTGGATTACTCCGCATATGAGTTTGGCTCTGTAACTGGGCTATCGCTACTTATTGGGCTTGTAGCATTTCGAAAATCATGCGCAAGCTGACCCCGATTTCCCCCGTGCCGTGGGTGTCTCGGGCTATGGGTCGAGCGCCACCCTGAATGCTTCTTTCCTGCTCGGAACGTTGATTTGCTTCTAGAGCTATTCGTGAATTGATATCTAATGGTACTTCGGCTCGAATTTCGGGTTCCTCGATTCGAGCCTCGTTGACGTTGTTGGGTAGCCATTCGGCCACGAGCACCAAGTTGTTGGTTTCATCCTGAAGGCCGGCTTCGAGGTCGATTGACAGAGCCATTGCTGACATGAAGTTGTAAGCTGGAATGTGCTGTATGTTTGTATCAAATAATCACTTGTTATCCTTAGCCCCACGGTGGGCGCCAAACTGTTTACCCGAAAAATCGGATAAAGTTGAATTTATGTATGGTTCTAAGGGCAAGTAGATTCCTCTGATATGAAAATAACAATGTATGTATTTATGGTGCAAAAATAGAAGATGATGAACAAAGACACTAGGTGAGCTTTAGAAAGATAAACACAATGAATTCTTAATCCCCCTTTGAGAAGTGACTTCTATTACAAACTCTCTTGGCCTTTATAGCCAAGGATTGCTACTTTATCTATAGCAACATGATGGAATAAAAAATTACTAGTGGAGGACCCATGATGGTATGTCTCCTCCTTAATTCCCGCAGAGATTCTCTTCTTTGGTGCGGTTGTAACAACTTTTGTCTGTGAGCTCGATACCGACTCGAGCTCGGTACAGGATCGGAACCTCGGCCTTGATTTCGAGCTAGGTGATCACTTTTGGGCATCGATGTTCGGGACCTGTATCGACCGATGTTACCTCGGTCGATTCGAACGCCCGGGCTCGACGCCCCCATCTCGGAATTCGCTCGGGGTCTCCGTGAAGGTACCCCTCGATTGAAAACGCCGTCCTCGATCGATCTTCACGACCGAGGATCGGTTTTAACCGTATACAAGTCCTTCAATTGCCCACACAGCAAGATCTACTCATTCAAATTATTTATAGAGTTACCATTGTCTTATGTAACGGGCAATTGACTAAGTATTCAATTTGACAGCACAGACAGAAGCAAGGGCAAAAGAATACTTTAGAATGAAATATGGAGAGTAGAGATGTTTTAGGGCCACAATGACATACTTGCTGTTCTGGTCCCTCAATACGTACAAGTTGGGGCCCTAGCATGGGTGGTACAAAACCCAAGCTATAATCACTGGGCGTCTGCAGAAGTGGCAATAGTGAGCCTGCAGGTACTTCCGGCCTTGACTGATCATACACAGGAGAGGCACCAGATACCTCAAAAGGTGATATATTTTCAAATCCATGCTTGTGTGAAAGCGGATTGTCAGGATAATCACCTCCCTGAGCTGCTGAAGATGCATCCTGGTAGCTGCAATAAGTTCTGTATGGTGATGAGAGAAAAGAGTACTCAGTGTAAGCATAATGACATGGTCATCCTTGTGTGACTATAAGCTACACTTGAAAAAATCTTGACAGTCCAGAGGCAATTTTGTAGAATCTTCATCAAAATGTTATACATGATTACAAAAGAATATTGGCAAGCTCTCAGACCACAACAAATCAGTAAAAATGCTTCAGTAGACACATTAGATATATAAAATCACAAATGAATACAAAAGCATGACATGTCACTCGTTACCGACCTCCCGGTTTCCATGGAAGTTCTATCATTAGCTGGAACAGTCTCCACAGGCATCGAGTCTTTGCCGCAGCTTATGCTTGGATCAAATTGTGGATCCAAACTACCAAAAGTCAATCCACTCCTAAAAGATTCAGGTACTTGAAGATGATTCGGAAAAATAACAGGCTGACAACGGGAAGAGATATTTAACTTCTCCAATTTCATGTCAAGCTGTGGAACTGCTTTTTCCATGGCAGAATTTAGCTTATAAAGTGAAGATAAATGGGCTCCCTGTGCAACAGCTGCAGCCTGAGATGGCAATACTGCATAAAGATTATGATAAAGTGAGATTACCAAGAAAGGAAAAGGAAAAAAGAAAATCTGAATCACAAAAGTCCTCCTTTCCTCCTCCTCAAAAGCAACGCATGGGTAAACTCACAATGGTTATGTTATTATTAGCTGATTTTTCTTGAAAGCCGACCAAATTCAATGGTTCAACAAATGATATACCAGGTAGCAGTTATCCGCGTGAAATGGACTTATAAGATAGAGCTAGCTATTTCTCTCATGTGTATCTTTGAAACCACATTTATAATAATACTAAGATTTGACATTAAGCAACTTAAATAAACACAAGAGCTCCATCTAAATTACTTAATTGAAGAAGGTTGTAGCCCCCTTAAACTCAAAAACTTTCAAAAAAGATAAAAAAGAGAGCCAAAATAAATTGAAGTGGTACCTTCTGAATGACCTTTATTTTGTTTGGAATGCTGACTTTCACGATTAATTGTAACAACTGATTGTGTAGCTGTGACTGAAACTCCCTGGGGTTCTTTTGGTTCAGTGGTGTTTATGTAGTTGACAGTTCCAATGACGGCATGAGCATTCTGGGGAGCACTTTGACAAGCGTCTAATCTTCCCTCATTCACAGGAGACACAATGGACTCGGTAGCAGTACGCTGGCTACCTATCTCACGTTTTATTGTACCAACTGTTCCTGGATTTTGGGTATTCAAGGCTGGAACTAGAACAGGATCTGATGCAGAGGTGTAGACATCAGATACCAATGCTGAAGTTGTGCTTGTCACAAGCTCATTAGGTCTTGATATGACAGTTTTATTTTGAAATCTGGTTCCAGGTGCAAAGGTGGGGGTGGGGGCAGGAGTGGGGCCAGGATCCAAGTTTGGATGATGGTTTATTAAATTAGGAGGTAGAGTTGAAACTTTTGCCAACTTGTTTACATTAACAAAGGAAGTAACTCTACTGTAACTAGGATCATCTGCAGATACCTTAATGGCAGATTTCTTGCTAGGATGTGTATTAGTATCTTCTGTTTTATGTGCAACCGGCATGGAGGTCTTAGAACTTCTATCCTTCGACCTATTGACTCTACTTTCTTTCTTAACGTATCCTCTGCCACTGGCATCTGCTGACAATAAAGAAAAGGGGGTAAGTTAACACTGCAAGCCATAAATAGAGAAAATTACATCTCCTCTATCAATATGAAACCCTCTTCCAAATTCCAACAGATGCCATGCTATATAACTGATAAGGGACCATATATATATATATATATATCAAAGTACATGAAGGAAGGGCCAACACTACAACAGGAAAAAAAAAGAAGAGAAGAACATGCTCTATCAACCTATCAAGTATGATTTAAGGGCGATAGATGCAATTTGAACCATGAAAGAGGTTCTAGTTCTTCTCATTTGACAAGCAGATAGCAATATCGTACACCAAATTTATATACACGCTAAATCATCCTTAAGGCTTGTACAAATTATTCTGACAAATAAAGCACATTCTTGAAAAGAGAGAATTTTGTCCTTCTCTGTGTGTGAGGAGAAGCAGATGATTTCCAAAGAAAGAAAGATCATTCAACAAACACTATCATCGTCTTGTGTCTTAACCTTGTGACAGTGAAGAATATGAGAAAATTTAACTTGTATCTTTTCAATAAACTTGACACCTTTTCTTCAAATGATAAGTGACGTGCAGACCCCAGCTATGACTGTTTAAAGAAGAAAGTAGCTAGTGGATGGTATACTTGAACAGCCAGCAGACGAAGTATTAAAGAGGATAACTCTTTTCTTTGGTCATGAAAGTTCTCAGCTATTCTTCAATTGTATGCTCAATGACTCAAAAGGATATAACAAAATTCAATACAAAACATCCTGGATGCTCAAAATAAGCAGGAGAGATATCGATCATGATCATGAGCACATTTAACTCTTATCCCAGGTTGAAGTCCCATATATACCATTAGTGATGTAATTTGCAGAAATTTTCTCACGACCACTCCTAGCCCCTCTCTGCTGCATGCCTGATATCCACCTGTAATTCTCAGAAGTTTGGCTGCTGGCTTTCTGTGACAAGCAGATGGTGAAACTATGAATGATCAAGCTAAGTGAAAATTTTGTAATCTTAGTTGATGGAAATGCTTACTGCTTTCTTTCTGTCTCGTTTCCTTTTGACCTCATGAAAAGTATCTGCAGAATTAGGTAGTTTTATTTTTTTGGCGAAGAAAACAATGATGTAATAGGCTAAACAATTACATGAATGCACGACAGAATATGAAACTTAGATAATATCTGCCACAAAAATTATAAAAATAAGCAAAGCAAGAGATTGGTATAGTAGTTTAATTTGTAGACCTGGAATCAACAACAAATAAGGAATACAAGAATGTTCCTAGTTGCCATATAATCAGATACTGACATGAGAGTTCTAGGCATAGATGAACCCTGCCCTAAAAGCATAAAAAGGGAAGAAACAAAAACAACTAGAAGTGTTTTGCTTCTTGTTCTTCCCTGCAGCACCAAGAGTATACTAAATCTAATTAGCAAAACTGACCAGATATTCACAAAATTAGACACAAAAATGCTCCAATAAGTAAACAACTGCAGTTGTTTATATTGAGTAGGAAGTTAGGTGGATGTAAACGAAATTTCTGATAGGAGCAAACCTATTGTTGTATGTGAAAGAAAGAACAGTAGAAAAAACAAAAGAAAGAAAAGTCGAAAAGAGATGAAAATATGATGTAAGCGCTTACGTCGGCATTCTTATGATGTAAGCGCTTACACCGGCGTTCTTATGATGTAAGCGCTTACATGGGCATTCTTATGATGTAAGTGCTTAACTCGACAGGGCATTCAAATGCCTATAAATAGGGGTCTACATTTTCATTTGTAGATCATCCCTCAACTTCTTCTTTCTCTCTTCAATTAATAAAGAGCTACTCTTTGTGTGGCCATGGAGTAGGCAAAAATTATCGAACCACATAAATCTTGTCTTGTTTTGTCTTGTGTAATTTATTGCTTTTTTCTCTTAAATATTGTTTCCCTTCTATTAGCCTGATACGCTTCCCAACAACTGGTATTAGAGCACAGACAATGTAATTTTGGTAGAAAAGTACACTATTGGTGCAGGTACTATTCATAAGAATAGTACGACACTATTGATCATCATTACTATTCACATGCACTATTCACATAAACTTTTTTGTGAAAAATGGCATCGGAAGAAGGAAAGTTTAATATTGACAAGTTCAATGGCAAAGATTTTGGATTCTGGAAAATGCAAATAGAGGATTATTTGTACCAGAAAAAATTATACTTACCTCTAACCGAGGTAAAACCAGAGACTATGGCCAAAGCGGATCGGGACCTATTAGATCGCCAAGCTCTTGGTGTGATTCATTTGACGCTAACACGAAATGTGGCGTTTAACATCATTAACGAGAAGACCACTGCAGGCCTGATGAAGGTGTTATCAAATATGTACGAGAAGCCATCTGCTTCAAATAAGGTCTATTTGATACGTCGATTGTTCAACTTAAAGATGACAAAAGGTGGATCAGTCATGGAACATATCAATGAGTTTAATATAATATTAACTCAGTTAAGTTCTGTTAATATAACATTCGATGATGAAGTCAGGGCATTGATTCTACTATCATCTCTACCGGAGAGTTGGTCTGCAACGGTAACTGCAGTTACCAGTTCATCAAAATATACCAAACTGAAATTGAATGATATTAGAGACTTGGTTCTAAGCGAAGATATTCGCCGAAGAGAATCAAGTAATTCCCCAGGTTCTACTTTTAATATTGAAAGCAGGGGGAGAAGCAACCAAAGAGGACAAAGTCATGGTCATGGCAGATCAAAGTCAAGGAGAAGAGGGCAATCCAAAAATAGCAAGGACATTACTTGTTGGAATTGCGATAAAAATGGTCACTACAGTAGTCAATGTAAAGAACCAAAGAAGAAGAAGGAAGAAAATTCAGCAAATGTAATTGCTGAACAAGTCAGTGATGCACTAATTTGTTGTGCAGACAGTCCAGTCGAATCTTGGATTCTGGACTCAGGTGCATCCTTTCACTCTACATCATGCAAAGAATTATTGCATAATTATATTGCTGGAAAATTTAGGAAAGTTTATCTAGCAGACGTCGAACCTTTGGACATTGTCGGGAAAGGTGAAGTTCATATAAAGTCTTCACAAGGCACGCTATAGAAATTACAAAATGTTCGACATGTTCCTGGCCTCAAGAAAAATCTAATATATATGGGTCAGATTGACAGTGAAGGATATACAGCAACATTCGGTAACGGATCGTGGAAGATAACCAAAGAAAATTTGGTTGTGGCACGAGGCTTTAAAAGAGGAACACTATATGCAACTGCAATACAGAGAGATACTATAGCAACAGTTGATCATGGTCGTGATACAACATTGTGGCACCGGAGGCTCGGGCATATGAGTGAGAAGGGAATGAAGCTGTTGGTATCCAAAGAAAAGTTGCCAAACCTAAAATATGTTAAATTAGGTTTGTGTGAAGATTGCATTTACGGGAAACAAAAGAGAGTTAGTTTCTCAAAGGTGGGAAAGGCGCCAAAGAAAGAGAAGCCGGAACTAGTGCATACAGATGTGTAGGGACCAGCTCCTATAACTTCTCTAGGCGGCTCACGCTATTATGTCACCTTCATTGATGATTCCACAAGAAAGATATGGGTTTATTTTCTGAAAAATAAATCTGATGTGTTTGTTACCTTTAAAAGATAGAAAGCTGAAGTTGAAAATTAGACAAGCCTAAAGTTAAAATGTCTGAAGTCTGACAATGGGGGAGAGTATGATAGCCAAGAGTTCAAAGCATTTTTCTCGGAGAATAGGATCAGACTGATCAAGACAGTTCCTGGAACACCGGAACAAAATGGTGTTGCTGAGAGGATGAACAGAACCGTAAATGAACGAGCAAGAAGTATGAGAATACATTCTGGATTGCCGAAGTATTTTTTGGGCTGAGGCTGTTAACACGGCAGCTTACCTCATAAACAGGGGACCCTCTGTACCGTTGAATTTTGAAATTCCTGAGAAGGTATGGACAGGAAAGGAGGTAACTCTCTACCATCTAAAATTTTTTGGTTGTGTTGCTTATGTGCATGTAAACTCTAATGATAGAGATAAGCTTGATCCTAAAGTCAAGAAATATTTCTTTATTGGCTATGGTAATGATAATTTTGGTTATCGATTTTGGGATGACCAGAATAGAAAGACCCTAAGACACAGGAATGTCACATTTAATAAAAATATGATGTACAAGGACAAGCTTGAAGTAGAACCAACCAGCACCAGCAAACAGACATCTGAAACCGTTGAGTTAGAAGAAATCTCAGAAAATGATGTGGCTAGAGGGATTACAATTGATTCTGAAATTGAAGATGAAGAACCAGAAGCCGAATCTGGATCAGAACCAGAACAGGAATCGGAACCAGAGATAGAATCAAATGCAGAACCAAATCTGGAGTCGGGACTTGAATCAAATTCGGGTTCAGTTACTCCTGAACCTATATTAAGGAGATCAAAAAGAGTCACGAATGCTCCAAATAGGTTAACTCTCTTTCTTCACTATTTACTTCTAACTGATGCTGGAGAACTAGAGCATTTTGTTGAAGCAATGCAAGTGATAGACTCTGATAAGTGGAAGCTAGCCATGAAAGAAGAGATGAATTCTCTTTAAAAGAATAAAACATGGATACTTATAGAGTTACCAAAAGGAAAGAAGGCATTGCAGAATAAATGGGTGTACAGAGTCAATGAAGAGCATGACGGTAAAGAGAGATACAAAGAACGATTAGTAGTAAAAGGCTTTCAGCAGAAGGAAGGAATTGACTACACCGAGATCTTCTCTCCTGTAGTTAAACTAACTACTATCAGGTTGGTGCTAAGTATCGTAGCTGCAGAAAATTTGCATTTGGAGCAACTATATGTTAAAACTGCTTTCTTGCATGGTGACCTTGAAGAAGACATCTACATGAAGCAACCTGAAGGTTTTCAAGTTTTTGGTAAAGAAAACCTTGTGTGTAAGTTGAAGAAGAGTTTGTATGGTTTGAAACAAGCTCCCTGACATGCAAAACAATGGTTTCACACGATGTGAGATGGACCATTGCTGTTATATCAAAAATCTTGATGAATCATATATCATTTTACTGTTGTACATTGATGATATGCTAATTGCAAGATCTAGCATAAATGAGATCAACTTAGTTAAGCAACAACTGGCAGAGGAGTTTGAAATGAAAGACTTAGGACCAGCTAAGCAAATGCTTGGAATGAGGATTAGCAGATACAGGTCGGAAGGAACCTTAAAGTTGTCTCAAGAAAAGTATATACAGAAGGTACTAAGCAGGTTCAGTCTTCATGATGCAAAGATCAGAAGCACTCCACTCGGAAGCCATCTTAATTTATCAAATGGCCAATCACCTAAGACATATGAAGAAAGGAAGTATATGTCCAAAGTTCCATATACTTCAGCAGTAGGAAGCTTGATATATGTTATGGTTTGCACTAGACCTGGCATAGCTCATGCAGTTGGAGTTATCAGTAGATACATGTCAGATCCAGGAAAGGAGCATTGGGAAGGTGTAAAATGGATATTGTGATATCTCAAAGGCATCTCAGGTATGACACTTTGTTTTAAAAAGAGAAATATTATCTTACAAGGTTTTGCTAATGCAAATTTAGGCGGCGATCTAGATAGTCAAAAAAGTACGACAGGCTACGTGTTCACCTTGGGTGGTACTGCTGTTAGCTGGATGTCCAGACTTCAGAAAAGTGTTTCTCTATCTACCACTGAAGCAGAGTACATGGCAATCTCAGAAGCTGGAAAAGAGATGTTTGGCTCAAGAATTTTCTTAAAGAGCTAGGTAAAGAGCAGAACAATTGTGAGCTTTTCAGCGATAGCCAGAGTGCAATTCATCTTGCCAGGAATACAGTGTTCCATGCAAGATCGAAGCATATCCAGTTGAGGTATCATCATATCCGAGAATTGATAAGTGAAGAAGCTCTTTCCCTACAGAAGATACTAAGATCAAAGAACCCGTCAGACATATTGACCAAAGTTGTCGGTGTTGACAAATTGAGGCTGTGCACTGCCTCAGTTAGCCTTCAAGACTGATAGCGTGAAGGCGCCACCAGAGAATAGCAAATATGTTTTTTAATTTCTTTCTTGATGTAACATAGGTTTGAGGGGGAGATTGATAGGAGCAAACCTGTTGTTGTATGTGAAAGAAAGAACAGTAGAAAAAACAAAAGAAAGAAAAGTCGAAAAGAGATGAAAATATGATGTAAGTGCTTACGTCGGCATTCTTATGATGTAAGCGCTTACACCGGCGTTCTTATGATGTAAGCGCTTAACTCGACAAGGCATTCAAATGCCTATAAATAGGGGTCTACATTTTCATTTGTAGATCATCCTTCAACTTCTTCTTTTTCTCTTCAATTAATAAAGAGTTATTCTTTGTGTGGCCGTGGGTAGGCAAAAATTGCTAAACCACGTAAATCTTGTCTTGTTTTGTCTTGTGCAATTTATTGCTTTTCTCTCTTAAATATTGTTTCCCTTCTATTAGCCTGACACGCTTCCCAACAATTTTTAAAGTGTAATTTTCTAGCAATATAGTGTAATTTTCCGGCAAAGGGGTGTCAAATTGACTTGGTTGAATGTGGATGCACCACTGCCTGCTATTTGGAAACACAAATAAGACATTGGTCTAAATATACCACACATTGGCGAACCACATACAAGGAAGGAGATATCAACGCGTTGCCTAAGTAGAGTTGTATACAGGTAAAACCGAGCCCGTTGAACACCTCAGTTTCCCGGTGAGGCAAACGGAGCTGGGACATGACCGTAAGGAATCGGAATCAGGGCAAGGAGCCCCTCGTATCAGGGTTCGAGCAAAACACCTGCCCTCGGAGGCATCAGGACCACGTGCTCCGGGTACGATTCGAGTCCCAAGACTTTGGAGAGCATTGCCAAACAACCGCACATAACTAACAAAGGGTCGTGATATCCGTGCCCGACCGGACGTCACGGCGTAAATCTCGGCCCGTATCAAGGATGGATCAGTGATTGGCGAAAAGAGAGATTTTACCCTTTTTTAGAATTGTACTTAAGATAAAACTCTCCTACTATATAAAGGAAAAACTAACTATTCATTAGGGGTATTGTAACACGCATATCAACGCAATTTACCTATATTCTCTCTGTTATCCAAAGTTCTTATCTTTGTTCATCAGTTCTTCATAAGTGTAAGCTCGGGATCGAAGGCAGGTTCTTCATTGAGCCATTAACCGAACCCAGGATCACTCTTATCATTGGTTTGGCCATTTATTACATCTTTCATTTGCTTAATCTAATGCCATCAATCACTTATATTGAATTAATCCACATATCCTTAAAACCACATATAAATTCAATTATTATCTATTTTTAAGAGGAAACAAGAATAAAAACATAATACGTATAAAATTTGAAGTCACCTTAATATAAGAGAAATACATGTTCAAATTCTAGGTGTGACATTATTGAATATTTTTATAAACAGTTAGAATTCGTGACTCCGCCACTACTACCACGAAGAGAATTGAGAATTGTGTGATACCCAACTCCACAGAGGATCCTTCAAGCTTAATTAATTGAAGGAAACTATATGACTGCTTCTTATGACAAATAAACTCATCAGAAGCAGAACAAAAGATCAATCAATTAAAGTGGAGATATACCAAGATACAAAAGCTTCTGAGCGGTCTCATTAGGATCCATATTGCATTCTTTGAGCATAGTATAAATGTCATCATCGCTGTGTTTTCCACCAGCGATCTCCTTTATATCATGGATCGTCTTCCCTACATTGCTCGGAATCATCGAACTGCCGGTGCTCATATCAAGGAATTGCGGCAAATATTCAAGATCAGAATGAGAGAATTGATTAGAGATTCACATGTACGCGAGACAGTAGGAGCATGCATATTTAATAGATCTATCGCCTCTGCATGTTTATGCAAATCATTATTCTATTAACTTTTTTCTTTTTTCCCACAATATTAAGATAATGAGGTTTGGTTAAATTGAAAGAATGTGGTGTAATTTAGAGTAATAATAGTTTTATTTTTTATTCCATGTCCGATATTCATATTGAGGTCCAATGGTGTATGTTATTTATTGTCTTAACTAGTTTCTGGATAAGCATTTTACGTGTGTACCCTAGTTCAATGAATATATTTTTTTTAAAAATTATATAACTAAAGTATTTGTGTTTGGGTTTTAGAATAAAAATCGAAGAAAAAATTTAAATTTTTGAAAATGAGAAATGTTTATCTTATTTAGTTAGCTCAACAAAAAAAAGGAAAAAGACCTATAATTACTTTGTTTCGGGAATAATCAACCACAATTTTAATCTACCTGAGAAATGTCGGCCACCTTCATTATTTCATAAAGATTTTCTTTTATGCTTTGTTTTCTATTTTATGTCTAATAAAAATGTTATAAATATACATGTCACTAAAATTTATTATTTTTGTGTAAATTTATAATTAAGCTACAATTTGTGTTGGTTAAAACTGTAGTGTAAACTTTGAATAAATTATTATTTAAGACTTTAAAGTAAATTATGTATTTGTTGGTTTTCCCAGTCATGCAAAATCAAAGAAGAATTCCTATGGGGTTAGAGAAGAAGGGGAAAAAAACCTTTCGTAAGTTGGCCAAATCGAAAATAAATTAAAAGTATATTAATTATTTATATTATATTATTTATAAAACTTTAAATATTAGGACTTCTTACATAGTTTAATAAGAAATGAACTAACAACTAAAATTTTAGTTGATTTTAAGATCCTAAATTACATGAGAATAACTTAAATTATAATTTTATGCAGTGTAAAATCTATTTTTAAAGAGTAAAAAAATTAAACGATATTTCGCTAAGGGATTTCATACTTTTAATATATTATCAATATTATGTTACGTGCATTGCGCATGCACCCCATCTTGATGAGTATATTTAAAAGAAAAATCATTTATCGTGTATCTATGTGTACGTATTTGACAAAACTGATGATTATTTAATTTTAGCAGTCCCTAATTGTAACGTTAAAGCAGTTATGCTAAATATTATGGGATCTAATCTGGACCAAGCAACTATGCTAGACATTCTATCAAGTTTTTTTTTTCACCAAGTTTTTATAGGCGAGACTTCCTCTTCCTTATTCATCGACTTAATACAATAGGTGCTTATGATGCTTTATCGCTTAATCTTATAAAAACTAATAATTTCTAATATTAAAAGCTACCGGAAAAATCATTTTCACTAATTCGAAATTCATATTTTCATAAGTACCTTTAGATTATTCTTCAACAGACAAAAATTTAATATATTATAGTATACCTTATAGAGATATATCACATATAACACAACAAATCCCTATATCTCCATATGACCATATCTCTCACATTAACTTAATTAAGATTAACTCACAAATTAAAAAAAAACTGGTACTCTGGTGTTGTCGTGTAAATTAATACTACTTATTTATTAATAAGTACTATGTAGATCATGCGTGAGAAAAAAAAATCAAGAAGATCAAAATAAAGATGTGAATCAAGGTCTAAAACTGACTAACATTAAGTTAAAAAATATAAAGAGATGTCCTTTGTTGAAATGATTGCATATATAGCGAAAGAAAAATAATTACTGACATTTTATTTAGAATATATTTATCTTCTTCTATTTAATCCTTATTGATTCAAGTTTTCATTTTACCACTTTGTCGCTTAATACTATACAATAGTTGATTTTTCTTATTTTTTTCATCGTCAATGCTCTTTTTACAGAAACAAAAATATATACCCAAAAGTTTTGTCACATAAAAAAATTACTTTTAAGATGAATTTGGTAAATTTTAAATTGAATTCTTTTGTTAATTAGTTAACTCAAAGATTTAACTTTTTTCAATATTAAAATAATTTATGTTTTGTTGATTCAAGTTCTTAATAATATCTCATCTCAATTTTTAAATACTTAATGATTATAATTCTATCCACTAAAAATTCTATTTGAAAAGGATAAAAAAATAATTTGACATTCGCTTTTGGATTGTTGTGTTTGTAGAATTATTATTATTATTATTATTATTATTATTATTATTATTATTATTATTATTATTATTATTNTTGCTCATAATTAATTTCACCATCATCAATTAATCTCATATTAACAACCTCCTCATTCCGAATTTTCACAAGACTTACAATAGAATGTGAGGCATGAAGACCGCATGATTGCTTACTTGGATTAATGAGTCACATTTAACGCCACCTGGGCACTCATCTCATAGGTTAAAACTCAATGTTTACAACACCAAAATGGCTGAATATGCACAGAAAAATATACAAGAATTATCAAATAAGCCTAACAGGCATGACTCCCTATTAATACTATTGTACAATTAAATTTCACAAAGGGAATTTTTTTTTAAACTCCTAAATATTTCACCACAAGGACCTCGTCCTTACATAACTTTCATCGCGGCTTGCAGCCCGGTTTAAATATTTTACATCATGTATAAAATGCGAGGATCTCGTCCTCAACTCCGAATCACAAGTATTTTGCACATTGTGCCAACTTAAATTTTCAATTTCCTTTCTTTCTTCTTTTCAATAAATTTCGTAAATATTTTTCATAACACATAACAAACCCTCATACCGATAGGGGATATAATTCACAAAAATTGGAATCAATTATTCCGACACATATTAAACCCACTGTAATGAATAATAAAAATTACTTTTAGACTTATAGCCCTCAATGGTGTATAGAAATAAAATAACAGACACTGACTCACATCTTTAAATCTCCCAACAGGGATAAACATATAAGTGAGTCACAAATTCACGAAGTTTACCATAAGTGGAGCATAATAGGAGGACTCACCTCAATATTCAGAACCGAATCAAATTAGAAAAATATCCTTTTATAATAAAATCAGGATCGTACCTGTAATGACACCATCTGGTGTATTGGCCCCAGCCAAATCATAGTGATTATATCAACGGGTCGGGCCTCCACCTCTTAGGTGCCCACTATCCGCCTGTCCTCCACCTCTAGCTGACTGTGCACGTGGAGTATCAACTGGAATAAAGCTTGTGGCTGGAGTGTTCAGATGAAATCCACCCATCCCAAGTTTGGGACAATCTCTCATGATATGCCTAGTATCCCCACACTCACAACAACCCCATCTGAGGTCGCGGCTGCTCGTACTGAGTCTGTGCCGGATAACTGGAATAACCACTGTAAGAATCTCGTGTCGGTGGTGCACTGTAAACTGGAGCACTCCGAGTAATCTGATGTGCGGACTGAGCTGACCGACTGCTCGAGCCTCCGCTATAATGGGTTCTAGCTGAAGAGTAAAACCCACTGAACCCTCCAGATCTTCGAGACCTTTTGGCCTCCTTAGACTCCCTTACTCGCCTAAAACACTCTCAATCTTCCTTGCAATCTCCACTACTTGTTGAAATGGAGCATCAGTTTGCAACTCTCTAGCCATGCATATATTAATATCATAATCGGGCCCCTCAATGAATCTGCGGACCCGTTCTCTGATTGTAGGAACTAAGATAGGTGCATGACGGGCTAACTCACTGAACCTGATAGCATATTCTGACACTGTCATAGTGTCCTGACACAACCGTTCAAACTCCGTATGCCACGCATCTCGGAGAGTCTGGGGAACAAACTTTTTCAAGAATATTTTCGAAAATTGAGTCCAAGTTGGTGGTGTTGCATCGGCGGGTCTACCTTCTTCATAGATTTGCCACCACCGATACGCTGCGTCTGACAGTTGAAATGTAGTAAAGGTAACTCCGCTCACGTCCACAATACCCATGGTGCGGAGAATACAGTGACAATTTTCCAGAAACTCTTGGGCATCCTCTGTGGCTGTGCCACTGAAAGTTGGTGGATCATATTTCTTAAACCTTTCTAGTCTCTTCTGTTCTTCTTCTGATGCCTCTGGCCGGACCTCAGGTCGAACCGAAATAACAGGTTGTACTAGTACTACACCCGGAATCTGACCAACGGGAACCTGTTTCTCTGGAGTTGTGGTAGGAGTCTGAGCTACTCCCCCAATCTGTGAAATGTTTGGTGCAACAGAGATCAATCCCGCCTGAGTTAATGTACCAAACATACTCAGGAACTGTGCTAAAGTTTTCTGAAGTCCGGGGGTAACAACAGGTGCTTCTGGTACCTGTCCCCCAGCTGGAGCTACTAGTGGCTCCTCAACTGTTGTTCTGACAGGTGCTCTAGTCGCAG